TAATTCCTTCTCCCTTTAACCACCCCTTCTCTGCCGTCCAACTGACAGTACAGCAACAGAAATGGTGGAAGCTCAGAAGGTTTGTTAAAGAGATAGAGTGTCTCATCACAATCATAACATGACGATAGAATGTTATCCCAACAATGACTTGAACATCGTATCTGTGGGCAGTTTGCTCAAACTCCCTCCTGAATCCCCTCTATCAACCTCCTCTGGGCACCAGCGTCCTTGCAGTTCTCTTCCTTGCGAAGGAAAGAACGTACTCTGCGGAGGTTCATAATGCTGTTCGGAGGCTAATATGTGTGAGATATTCATAGTAGTCGAGTGTGCTATTTGATTTCTGGATGTGGGTGGTTCGGTCTGAATCTAACGAAGTGCAATTAGTTCCTTTCGAATGTGGAGGAAGAGTGAGCTCTTGCCTCCGACGTATTTGACATTACTTTAGCATATGCATACGTTCAGATAACGTGAACTCCACATAGCGTAGTCGTATTGCCATCCGACTTTTCCAAACACGAACGCCATGCCGAACCATGACCATATCCACACAGAAATGCTGAATGTCCATCCAATCACCAAGACTACCTGAAAATCAATTAAAATGGAAATCAATCACTAGCCTGAAATCAATCACCGTAAGCCGCGAGCTAGAAATCAAATTTGCGCACAAGGTGCATGCTGTGATGTGTTGAACAGTTGAAATAAAACTATAGATGGTGCGTGAAGGGAATGAGCGGCGGAGAAAATATTTTCCCTGGATTTCCATCGAAACGGAGGTGAGTACCACCTTAGAACTGGGATTTGATGTTCCATAGACTGACGTGTTTAGCCTTGGCCTGCAGTACAATATGGTTTACATAGCTCAGGTCGCCGGTTAACCTTGGTGTCTGAGCCCTTTATGCATTAATTTACTTGGCTTTTTTTTGAACGAATGCCATTTTTATAACCTTTCCTATAACTTTTTATCTGTGGTAGGTAGAGCCAGTTGATCAGCCAGCCCTGACTTTTCGAGCGCAATAACAAACGAGAAGTATTCACCAGTAGAGGTAGGATAGACTTTTCGGGATCCACTTTCTTTTTGATTATCAGAATACGGCTTACGGATAGCACACAGATGTAGGGAAACATTGCTTGCCATAAACTGTTGACCGTCGATCCGACAAACTGAAATTCACGTGCGTATATTAGTCACAGAAGTAGCCAAGTTGCTTCAAGATTCATAAGAGTGTCAAGTCCTATAGAATCGGAATTTTAGGACAAGCAGATAAGAGAGAGCATTCATAAGAGTGTGACTACTACCATCAAAGCGAATAGAAGCAGTAAAATTAGGAGATATCATTATTCAGCACCAATTATACATATGTGCTTGGCGATCGCGGCGCTCATGCCTGCAGTGGAAACATTCGAAGCAGGGCCGATGGTAGGTGACACTAGCCCTAAGCCCAGGAGGGAGGGGGGAACGCCAGGGAGAACACAATTTGCTCACATCTTCCCCAGAATCCCTTCTCCTCCTTGAGGCTCATTCCATGCACAGTAATAAGCTCATTTACTTGAATGTTCTCAAAAAACCCCCTCCCCCAAGGACATTATCACCCTTATCGCTATGTTCCTTCTCATCTTTGCCAACTGACGTTTTTTTAAAGGAGGAATTCACGATTAGAATGAAGGTCGAAGAAAGGGAAACTGACCTAGTTGAGGGACCCACGGACCTCCTGAGGGTGCGAACTGACGCGCAATTCGCATGGAAAAATTTGACCTCGGCGACCTATCATGCCTCAAAGCTGGCGGGTCCGGCGATCTCCGCCCACCGATCATCTGATCACTCGCCGTAGTTCATGATTAGATAGCTGAGAGAGCGTAGTGTTGAAGAGAGGCACAGCGATGAGAGTCGCATCAATGCTCGAATCAACGGGCAAGGAAGGGGTACCATTTCTCGGGTTCTGGGCCGTTTCTCATGGTTCTTCCTTCTTTCGTGTACCACTCACCATCCCTAGGTTAATTTGAAATGGGTTGCCTTTTTCATCGTGAATTCGTCCTTTAAGATCATCGCTTTCCTCAAATCTCCACGCGCTGAAATGTACTGTAAATCGAATAGCAACACCTTGCGGATTTCATCCGAGATCTGCACACACACTTGATGTGTGTAAGTTCTACTGCAGAACCCCGCGAATTTGCTCGTCCGGATCGTCGCGATAAATCTGCGCGACCCGCCGCGAGATCGCTACGATCCGGACGAGGCAAAAGTCCTTTGCCTGTCTGACCGAATTAGCGTTAGCGAGAAAATACAGGTCCCCTCTAATCTATTCGTCCCAGTAAGTACTGTACAATGAAGAGAAAGTTCTCGCATTTCGGTTTTCGTCTGACAGAGGGCGTGATGAAGAGCAGGAAGAAGTTATAAATTTCATCAGTACTTACGCTTGAGAAGAAAGGGTGAGCGTTTAATAATTTCAGGATATATAAGGAAAAATCCACTGATGAAGTGGCATAATAGTTGGCCGAAGTCCAAGAGATTAATGTGATTCAACAGCCGATAAATTGATAGCTTCCTGACCTCAGTGTCCGTCCACATAACCTGAAACATAAGTTCTAAGCTTTCAAGTAAGGTATTCAGTAGACAGAACGTCTACCTTCAATGGTGAAATTTCAGATTCAGTGTAGACAGTTTTGAAAGAAAACTAATTCACTTCATTTTTGAAGATATTTATTTAAGGGCCCTAATGCGCCACTTACAGGTGGTGCGCAAACTGTCTGCACTAACAAAAAAACCACGTGTAGTACTACATCTCATAAATAGTTGTAAGTTGACAAAATACAAAAAATGCAGGCGAACTAAGAAGGGCTAACTAAAAAGAATTTGTCCAACCAAGCTGGTTCCTTCAGCGAACGAATAGTGAAATGTTACATCAGCTTAAACCGTATCCTCACGCAATGAAGTCATATGAAGTTATGGGGCCTTGGTCTTGAATCTTTGGATTAACATTGCAGTTCAAGTCAGCACGAGTCGGCCTGCTTGCGCCACTTGAGAGATAACAGCAGTTTACCTGAACTTCGACACACAGACCACCCATGTAGAAGTGGCAATTTGACAGAATCCGCGACGCGTCATCCTGAATCTTTAGGCTAGAGTATTTATAGCCAAGTGTTAGTGTTTTAGTGTTCTGAGGTGACACCTTCAATAACTGAGAGTGGACATGGCCACTACCAATTGTCGATTCGATTCTGTCGGGATTGGGAGCGCTTTCCAAGTAAAGCTGCTCAGCGTGAGCAGCTACAACACGTAGGGTGACTAAGGTGGAAACATGGAAAGCTCTATGACAAAAAGAATACTGGCTCGTGAACAAAACTTTCGCCCCAGGCGGGACTAGAACCCGCACCTCTTGCTTTCCGGGCAAGTGCGCTACCAGTTACGCTACCGGGGCACCATTTCATCCCAACTCAGCTTTTCATGGTATAGGTGTTCGTATGTATTGTTCAGGTGTAGACTAGGATCACCCGAATACTTAGGCTAGTGTTTTCATACAATAGCCTTGGACTTGGCTACTACCAATTGAAGGATTCGAATCTGTCGGGATTGGAAGCGCTTTTTGAGTAAAGCTGCTCAGCGTGAGCAGCTACAACACGTAGGTGACTAAGGTGGAAACATGGAAAGCGTCTATGACTAAAAGAATAGTGGCTCGTTAACAAAACTTTCGCCCCAGATGGAACACTAGCCTTAGGGCGAGTGCACTACAAATTTCATTTTATTTCATTCATTGATTATCAATTTCAATTCTTCTTTTCGATTTCAATATTCAATTCTTCTGTGAGTTCTAGGAGTAGACTACGATACATCGTCTACACCTAGAACTTCCAACAAATTAAGCTTTCTTCGCACTACTTTGGGCTGAGAAGAGTCTTAGCATGATAGCAGGTAGAGAGGTAGGCGTGATAGCCATCCAGTCCTGCGTAGGACGAAACTGCTATTTGTAAGTTGCTTATGAAATTTGCACACTGGTGACCAAAGGTTTTAAGCCGCCTCGACGTTCCCTGGTGTGCCGAAAAATTTCAAAAATGATGAACGGATTCGTAGCTCGCCTTTATTTCTTCATGTACCCTCTTGATGCACATCCCCTTCCATGCGTTAACAGATCACATGGAGGAGTTTGGTCGCTGTTGCTTCACGTCTGTACGTTGACGTTTGGTGAAATTTTCGTAGCGAAACTTTCTTTTTTTTCAATCTCTCTTCAAGATTTGGGCTCACTCATTACGCCAAGCTCGTTTCTCTCAAAAACTGAAGCGGAAATTCGTAGAAGCATGCGGGTGATTTTAATTTTTTTTCCGCACTTTCAAGCTCCATAGCTTCTTTCAGAAGCAGCTGATCGTAAAACGGGGCAGGTTGCTGTAGGATATGGAAATCGCTTTTTTTTCAAATTCATTGGAAGTAAATGGAAAGCAGACTGCAGGTAGTTGAAGTGAGCATGTCAAGATGAGCTAGTGACTCAATGAGAATTTTTTCTCGGGTACCGCAGAGTGGTTATTTTTTGTAGCATTGTCACGCTGTTATTTCAACGACTGAAGATTTTTCCTTGAAGAGATTTCTGTTAAAAGCGAAACAGATTTGGACATTTCTCTGTGAATTTTCTGTATCTGTATGGCATCGGTTTTTGTTCTTGGAGATCATTCGCATATGCATGACGCTAATTGCTTTTTGCCTTCGGCAGCTGATACTTTTCTACAATCGCACTCCTAAAAGCTTCGGGACGTCTTCAAAGCTTGTGTTTTTTTTGCTTTACATTAACTTGAGCGCTCCATTTTGATCGTATTCGATTTTGGTTGCACCATACACTCTACATTCAGAGTTAGAGGCTAGTGACATTGTGAACACAAAATAGCTCGTGGAATACTCCCTAGTGTCACTATTGCCGAACGATAGCCAATTTTGTACAATTTTATTTACGTCACAGTAATTTCGCGTCAGACATCCCAATCAAAGCGTTCCTGTGCGAGATAAAAGCAACACCCCCAGCAGAAGTCGTGTTGAAGACTCTGCTCAGTGGGTGAGATGGAGTCGCCCAGTATTCGCACAGAAAAATCATTGTTGTGGCTCGAAAGCGCGCGACAATAGCACAAGGGTCTTACAAAGTCAGCATTTGGCGGCATCTCAGCATTTGAATGAGTTACTTAGCACACATGAGATTCGACGTTCGACGTGCTTCAACAAGCAAAATTAAACCAGAGCTTCTTTATCGGTGTTTAGCCACTAACCCATGTGATATCGACCCACTCGTCGTTGTCAGAATAACGAATCTCTTCAGCGACAAAATCGTTACTTCCTCACTAGTTCGCATTTCCGCTGACGATCTTCAACCAAATTGTGGAGCAAGGAGGAAAGACAAGGAGGAGACTAAGCAGCAGCATGTATGCTGCAGTATGCTTTACTGCCCTTTCCAGGATGGGCCGCTTCCCAAAATGCGCCTCCCACCACGGAAACATAACATTTCCTCGTGCTGGATGTGGCCCTCTGCTTTCTTCGACATTTTCATCACTTAATTTTAGAAAACCGTTACTTCAAGATTGGTTAGCCATATTATATAGCCGTGTGCATATACAGCCGAAAACCTGTTGCTCCTCGTATCACATCCATCCGCCAGACGGCACTTTCCGAGAACATACGCCCCTCAAGTGATTCCGCCAACTTGCACACATAACAGATACATTCCGACATAGATACATATGCGATGACTCTATATAACCGATGTGTATACAGGGTGAGAAGAAGAAAAGTGATGAATGCGGCAGCTTGAAGAACATCAGAGGAAAGGAACGGTTAGCTGTATGCTTCAAAGGTCGTCTTTTCTTTCGTTCTTCTCGTTGGTTTACCTACATGAGCGTGTGCAAATTGTGCAAGCTCCATGCTTGACTTGTGTTAGAACCGTTACATTTGTTTTGGTAATGGTTGACATATCTGCAATCATAAAATCGCCGATCTGAAATCCAATAACTGCAAACCACTGCGTATCTTTGTGATATATTACGCACTAACTGGCTTCGGAAATTCGATATAAATTAATTTTTCGAGGCTTCTTTTCATGAAGTGATATATCAGAGATGCTCACCCAATTGAAGATGCAGTAAAAAGGAATCATGAACAATGCTAGGCTAGCATAAATGATGCCGATAAGCATCGATTCTGGATCTGTACTTAGAGTAAACAGAGCAGGTGTTTCCAAGTTCAGCTCTGATGACATGAAGATATCGATAATTGATTGACCACTGTAGGCTTGAGAAGGATTGTCTAGAACCTCCAATATCACAAGCTGAACGCCAAGCAGTGATTAGCCAGAACGGAATGAAACACGGTATTCTGCATACACCTAATTTTTTTGAGCTTCCCTTCAAAATCGGATATTTCGGAAAGCAACGAAGTAATCAAGAATTTACTGAATTGCTTGCTGGTATCAAACGACAGGCAGTACACAGGATTGTAGAGACGCACACACAGTAGGCAGTGCCCAGAGAACACGGCTCTCAATAATGATTGACATTGCTGACACGACATTTGTTGTGTCCACGTGGACTGCTAGAATGAAAAATATGGTGTTTCGGAAAAACAAGTATCGCTATGGCTCTAGCTCCACCTCCACGTCCAAGTCCAACCTCCAAAAACCACTTTGAGCGAGCGCGGTGGGTACAAAGTTATGTTAACCAAACCCTATATCACTAAAAACGAACATAAGCCTAATGAAACAAATCATTAGCACAAAAATGTTGTCCACATGTATAATAAGGCAAATTTATGTAGGATCGGTTTGAAATCTGTTGAATGTTGTATTTACAGGCCTCCAGATAAGAGTGAAGGCGCGCAAGGTTGCACGCAGGTGAGACGCGTCAAAATGATTCCACCTATTTTGCTCTTCAGAATCAAACTTTCTAGGGGTTTTATTTTGCTCT